GCGATGACCCGAAATCCGCAGTTACCATTCGCATCCACATTCAGGTAACTCACTATGTAGTCCAACATATGCCAGGGGATACTTTGCCACATTGAAAATCCAAATATATTTGTCGGTCTAAACTCTGCAATAAATATCATAATAATTTCACGTCACAATTTATTAATCATATAAATACTTTAATTAACGCTCAGCCATATTTAAAAAAAAAATGTATGACCTGCTTCCCCTTGTGACTGTTGAGAAGACGAATATGTCTGTCCACGCGAAGAAGTGGTCGTACGGCTCGATTTCCGACCTCGCGATCTATCGTTGTACTCAAAAGCAGATGGTTTACGCTTAGTTGAATTAGTTTTCTTGGGACGACCTCGAGGGTTATCCTTAACCTCAGGTTCCGCATAATCCTGTTGGTCTGGGTAAAGATGACTATACATGAACTGATTCACGTACCGCATCGTCGCGGGATCGCGCGTTTCAACCTCACTCACAAGCGTCTGAAAGAACTCCGCATCTGACCATGCAGCCTGGCTCGCCTGGCTCTGATGACCAGTCCCTATAAGTATACGATAAAAAAGTCAATGAATTAAACCAAATAATGTATTTTAATAGAAAATTATAAATAAAACATTTACCTTAAATTACCTGGCTCTAATATATGTAGCGTTCTCCAGAACTGGTGAATCATTCCGAGATCAATCGGAATGTTGAAATCAACTGCGTTACAGAGTAGACAGGCACAAGGAAGTCCATGAGTGAACTGCAATACACAGCCGCAGCTAGTGTAAACATCGGCGTCCAAGTCGTGCATCCTCGTAAGCTCAGCGTCCAATAAACTCAGACAGTAATGCGAGATCCTCAGTATCACGCTCGCGAAAAGGATTCACTTATACCGTGTATTCTTCTTAGATCTCGAGGCCTCAAGCGTCGTCCTGATAATACGTTACATAACGTTAGATTATAATTAATTAATGCCGTAATATAATAACGCATTTAAAAATTGCAGTACGTACTTGATTTCAGTAACTTGATTATCGATGTGCTTATTAATCTTCTGCCAAATTGTATCGAGCGCGCTGGTGGACGTCTGAAGCCACTCCTTCAACACAGAGTGGGCACTCTCCACCCTACAGGAAGTTGTGTTTCCGAAATGTGTCACTCGGTTGGTCCAAGCCTTCACAAACTTCTCGCGGTGCCCTAACCATGTGCTCTCCACATACCGTATCACCTCTGGAGACTTCGAATATTTTGCGTGCAGCTCGACAATGGCATCGGTGTAGGCATCGAACGTACTGGCCTCTGCAATCGCCTTCCACGTACTGTGCCTGAAAATATCCGAGAATTTTTTACTCTTCCCAAATAGTTTGTAGGCTTTGTCTTCCACATCCTTGTTGATGTGCTACGTGCAGAGTAAGTGGGCTGATTCAGGAAAATGCCTCTGAATAGGAGTGAGTAAACCCAACTCTCTGTCACTGACAACAACATAAGGATATACGTCTTGGCCTATCAGTAGTCTCAACTTCTCTAGAACCCAGTCGTAACTGGCCTCTTTCTCGTCCCTGATGAGCGCATACGCAATTAGAAAGTTCTGGTTGCACGGTGTCATCCCAATCATCTCGACCAACGGCATCTTGTACCTGTGCAAATGAGACCAAGAAGACAAAAAATATAATCAAATAAAAGTTTACTTAATCAAACACACTATTTAAGATTCATACTAATAAAGTATTTATAAAGTAACATACCTGTTGGTTTTATACGTGGAACCTATGCCGACATACCAGTGATATGTCCGGAATAGATTGATCGACGCAGGATGGGCCATGAATATATGCGTCAACACTTTCGTGTTCGGATCGGATTCTGCATAAACTGTATACTCGCTGCTCATGGCCAAATGCATAAGCTGGGAATGAACGTCACTACCGTCGAAACTCTCTTTCCGCAGCTTATCTCTAAAGTTATATACCTGTCACCGATTAGCGTTAATTATAATGATTATTATAATTTAAAAAAAAATATTATGTTAATAAATAAAAAAGTATATTAATGCGATTAATTTGATAAAAAAAAAATTTAACTATTACAATAATAATACATTAGTAAATATAATAAAATTTATTAATTATTACAATAACTTTTACATATAAAAAATTACTAATTATCATAATTAACTTCAAAATTTAATTAAAACATATATTACAAGATATAAATATATATACCTGTCGCACATGAACGTTGTCTCCCGGATTCTTTTCCTTCAGCGCGGCCATAATTTTTGTCGGAGCCACCTGAGCGTCCGTCATATCACGAACAATTTTCTTAGATGAAGCGCTGAGGCCGCTCAACTGGCGATGACCCTCAGGATACACAACAAATGTATGGTTATGGTAGCCCTTTTCTTCATTGCTACATCTATAGATCCTCCAGTATGGAGCGCCTGACACCTTTTTTACTTTGATCTCAAAATTGCAGCCGCACTTATTCGTTTTTGTTTTTCTAGAATTTCCGCATGTGCCTCTGTATCGTTCGCCTCTATGCACTTCAAAAGCCTGACCGTTTTCTTTTTGTGGCTCAAAATTATTAATAGGAAATCATTCAACATTGTCTGGTGTTTTGCAGCTTCAATAGCGTCCTGAGCACTATTATATAATGTACAGGTATCGAAACGCAGACTGTAATCAACACCATCTCCTCCAAAATCTTCTCATGACTCCTGCTATATAATTAATTCTAGCATGTAACATAATAATTTGTAACTCATAACATGATATTATCTAACGTCCAATTTATAGCATAATGAAGTCCAACATGTAACATAATAATTTGTAACTCCTAACACGATCACGATAGTATCTAACGTCCAATTTATAATATAATCAACTATAACATGTAACATATAAATTTGTTACTCCTAACACGATACTATCTAACGTCAATTTATAACATAACAAAGACTAACATGTAATATAATAATTTCTAACTCGTAACACGATAATATCTAACGTCCAATTTATATTATAATCAACATGTAACATAATAATTTGTAACTCCTAACACGATAAACGTCCAATTTATAGCATAATCAAGTCTAAAATGTAACATAATAATTTATAACCTAATAATATAATCCAATTTATAACATAATTATTTCGAATATATAACATAATAATTTAAAAAAAAAATTGTCTGGCCGGTCGAACCGGACGGACCGGTTCCGACCGGCCGTCTTTTTCGGACGGCTTTTAACCCGTCCGGCCGGCTTAAAATCCGTCCGGTTCCGGCGGTCGGACGGCCTAAAAGCCGTCCGGTTCCGGCGGCTGGACACAAAAATTTTCGTACCTCCGAATTTGACGACATTTCACCGTACACTTTCCTCTGAGATGTTTAGAAAAAATGAAAATGGCAAAATCGTTTAAAGGGGACGGTGAGTAAAAATGGGGGGCGGTAAATAGTACCACCCTATAATTATTAATGTCATCATGTATATAGGTCCTCAAAAAGATTGTCTCTCAGACATATATACCAACAGAAAGATCTGGCTCAAATGGAAAACTCTTGGTTTGCGAGCTTCACAAATTCCTATAGGGCTGAAACAAGCCTCAAGGATATGGTGTTCCAAACTTACTAAGGTTCTTCTTTCTTTTGGTTTCAAAAATTCAGCTGCAGACACCTCTTTGCTCTATAAAAAAATCTCAATCCAACTGCATGATTGTATTGACTTATGTTAATGATTTAATTGTCACTGGAACAAGTGACACTGAGATTTCAACCTTCATTCATGACCTCAATAAGGTTTTCCCTCTGAAGGATATTGGTCATCTTTACTATTTTCTTGATATTGTGATCATACCTCACTTAGAAGGTATATTACTTCCAGCAACAATATATCTCTGACATTATTCATGCTGATGACATGTCTGGTGCAAAAGGGCTCTCCACACCTATGATTTCAGGCTCACACCTCTGCTAGCATGATGGTGATCCCCTCCCTGATGGAACAGCCTACAGAAGTATCATTGGAGTACTTCAGTATGCTACCATCTCAAAACATAGCCTTCAGTATCAATAAGCTAAGTCGATATATGCAAATCCCCAAATCAACTCACTAGAAAGCTTTAAAAAGGGTTCTCAGATATCTATCTGGCACTTTGCATCTTGGTCTTTACTTCCATTCTAGCCATGCAACTTCTTTCGCTGCCTTTGCTGATGCAGATTGGGGCTCGGATTATGGTGATAGAAAGTCCACCTCAGGCTACTGTGTTTATTTTGGACACAACCTCATTTCTTGGGGATCAAAGAAGCAATCAGTTGTCTCTCGTTCGAGTGCAGAAGCAGAATACAAGAGCATAGTTGCTGTTATTTATGAACTGATGTGGCTACACAATCTCCTTTCAGAGTTAGGAATTCATGTTCATCAACCGAGTATAATTTGGAATGACAACCTTAGTGTTGTGTTCTTATCTTCAAACTCGGTCTTTCATTCACGAACAAATCACTTCGAATTAAACCTTCACTTTGTCAAGTTCAACAGAAATTCATATCAGTCAGACATGTATCAGGCATCGACCAAATAGCAGACATCTCACAAAACCTCTTGATGGTCAATTTTATGTGCGGCTCAGTGACAAATTTCACGTTGTTTCTCATGCACCGGCATCAAATGGCGGGGGGCGGAAGAAGCTCGATTCTGCTGCTATAAGACAAAGTTAGCATTGGTCATGCAAGCATCCATGGTGGATTTATACTCACCTTTATTTTTGTGGTTTTTTCTTTTATTTTGTTATTTGTCTCTTTAAGTTTCGTGCATGTCATTGTTCTAGATCCATCTTAAATATTTATTTACTTGGCTATAAATAGCCCTCTCCTTGTAGCAGCCTCATCTCATCCTACTCAATGAAAATCAGTGCCGCGCATTCATGTTGATTGCTTTATGAGAGTCTGCAAATCCCAACAACGACCATTTGAAAATTAAAGAAACCTAATGTTACATTGTAGGTATATTTCAACATTTGATTTTCTCATTCTAATTATTTTTTCAATACACACTTAATAAATTCATAATAAAGTATGGTGATCACATAACATATTAGCATCGCACACACGCACGTGATATATAGACGTAAATACAAGTAAAGCAATTAATATACACCTAAACGTTGAAAATTAACCACACAAAACCAACTAGTTAATTAAGAACATAAGGAAACTCAAGAAATATCAAATGACAAACCACAAAATATTTAAAAATATCAACTTCACCAATCACCACATACGAGCCGCACCACAAGATATACATCAATCATATCTTCACTCGTGTAGGCACTTATGGGGTGATTCGCATATTCCACACATATAATTTTTATGCTCACATCATACCACATACATAAATTATTCAAGGAGTACATCATCACCCACACACACAATATTTTACACGTAGATGTGTACCATATTCTAACATAATAACACGGTACAATTAATATACATGCATATATATATAGACCATGCTTTATTTTTATTATTATATATATTTTTTTAATTAAAAAAGGTGATGGTGTTTTTTCCCCTCAGCCCTCTCTCCATCTTCCTTAGCTTCCTTCTTTTCATGATGCTCGTGGAACGCGTAACCGCCGGACCCTACAGCCACGGCAGCCGCCACCTCTTCCTCTATCTTGTGCCGGTGCTTGTTCTCCGGGTCCTTCTTCGCCTCGTGCTTCTCATACTAGTTTCATATATACATACACGATTATTAAAATATTTTATATAAGAAATTAAATATAGGCAAAATTGTATTTTTAGTCCTGCTAGTTTAACGCCATAATATTTTTTGTCCCAATATTATAACTTTTTGATTTTTAATTCTGTAATTTAGTATTTTGTTGTTTCAATCATTTAGGGACTACAATTGTAACAAAATTTAAAATTATAGGACTTAAATTGCTAATAAAAAAAATCTTTTTTAGAATATTGGGACTAAAAATGTTGTTAAAATTTATAGGACTAAAATTATTAGCAATTTAAGTCCTATAATTTAAAATTTTGTTGCAATTTTAATCCTAAATTGCATTGAATTTTTAAATCGTAGGACCAAATAGCAAAACGTTCTGATCTTAGAACTAAAAACGCCACTAGATCAAAACAACAAGACTAAAATTGTAATTTTGCCTTAAATATATATGATCCTAACATTAATTAATATTGAGAAGTAGTTAATTACCAAGGCAAAAGCACCAGCGGCTAAAGCACCCATCTCACCAACATGCTCCTTATGCTTGTGATGCTTCTCTTCTTTCTCATATTTTTCGTACTCATCCTTTCTACTTTCACCACCGTAACTTCCAAAAGCCTCAGTTTTTTCGTATTTTCCGTAATTATCATATTTATCCTCAGGTTGACCACCATAATTAGCACCAGTATTTGTGTAGGTGGTTTCGGAGTAGGTCACGGCCTCCACTTGCTTCTCTTCCTCCTCGTCCTTGCGGTGGTGGAAGAGGTGGTGGTGGTGCTTCTCTTCGGCCATAGCTGCACAATTATTAAAAAGATTAACTTATATAAATTTCAGGAATGGAATTTTTAATTTTATTATAAATTTTTGTGCTTTGTGTAGCTAGTTATGTTGGGGCATTGTGCAAGGCTAAGCAATGTGGGTATTTATAGGCAAGCGAAATGAAACGGATGAAACAAGTGGATGGTTAGGATTAATTTTCAATTTTCGTCTAATAGGATATTCAATTTTTATCCACCTCGTGACAACAACTGGTGTCACTGGGATTCTAACAAATTATTATTAATCAGTGGAGGTCGATCGGGCTTTTGAATATCTTAGACCTTAGCCACTGAGAATATACTGCAATAGATTCCAGTTTAGTATATTATATATATACATACAATATATATTTAATTATTGTATAATTAAATTAGAATCTATGTATAAAATATTAGTATAATGATGTTTATTACATACATCGGAAGTTGGTAATAATTAGTTCTTCCCTACAGTACATTATTAGGGTAAAAAAGACGTGGGTGGTTGGAAATTAAAATAGGCCACATAATTATATCCTGCCTTCAATTATTTCATGCATGAATTAGTGGATATATATATGTGGATAGCACCACAGACACCTGTTACTAAACACAATCAAAGTATCAATGTTCATAACTTGCATTTAAACTACCCAGTTAGGCTCCCAACTTTATTATATTATCAATCGGGTGTGTTTCATGGACTGAAAATATTTATGATTTCTGCGCTGGTCTATAAGTTTTCGTTAAATTATTATATAATTCCTTTTTCAATAAATTTTTATTGTATCTTCACAATTATTATTTTTTTTGTAGATAACTGGGGACGAGTTTTGCACGACGTAGATACAAATTAATTTAGTTATTTATTCATTTTATTTATTGTTAGTATTTTAATATTAGATTGTTAGTAAAGTTAAAAAATAGTTAATTATTCTAGTCTTTCTATTTGGTAGGAAAATATTACATTATCAATTTCTTTGTTAGATAAGTTATCTATTTAGGATATTTTGGAGTTCTATTAAATGATTCCTCCTATTGTTCTAGGCGGTCAAGTTTAATATATGAAATAAAATATATTGTCTTGAGATTTTATCTCTTGTTTTCCTTTCGTACGCTTTCACAAAGTCAGTCCACATAATAGAACAGATTATATTTCTACGCATCTGTTAGCCCATTTTCAAAAAGTCAGTCCACATAATAGAACGGATTATATTTCTATGCATCTGTTAGCCCACAGTGAGACTTTCGCTTTTGTTTTTTATGTATGTTTTTTTTGTTTGGTATCTTCTAGACTAGTGATGTTTTTTACCCAGTTAAGATCTTGATTATCCACAACTTGGAAATCAGGCCGAGTTAATTGCAAATTTGGTCCCGTTAGATTGGGACGTTCGTAATTTTAGTTCCAAGAGGCGCAATTTCAGTCCTTACCTAATTTTTGTTGCGCAATTGGTCCCAAATCTAACTGACCGTTAAGTCACCGTTAACTCTAAGGACTAAAATTGCAATTGTGGGACTAAATTTGCAATTTTCTCATATTTGATATATATAAAATAACTTTTCGTTTTTATTTTTATTTTTTATAATTTTATTCACCTCTAGAGTTATATTTTTATTTTTTATCAACCACTATAATCATAATAAAATTAAATGATGATTTTTAAATATATTTATTATTTAATTAAAAATATTTGAAATATAGAAAACATTGTATTGCAATTAAAATTTTTAATATATTAATAATGATATAAATGNAANNNNA